GGAAAGAAAAAGAAGAGAGCCAAACAGTGCAACAAATCAGGAAAAGAGAAGACTTGAAGTGAGTTCAAAAATAGGGCAGCTCTACAATTCCATGGACCTGAACTGAAAAAGTTTATTTCCACCTGTAGACAAAATATTAGCATCTATTCTACAATATCAAAACTCTGTTATCTCATTCTTCTGCCTGTGCTTAAAATACAGTTTGAATTATTGATAGGAAAGAGGCAGAAGATATTTGAAAAGGAGAAGATTTCAGAAGACAACATTCTTCTACTATGACCCAATAATATGGTAAAGATTATGATAGGCAAGAATGCAAATGACTTGGAAATTCCAATAATTAAAGTCAGAGAGCATAGTGAATATTAAGAAGACTAAACTAATGATAATAGGTACGGTTGCTAGCATGAAATTATTGGAGTAATGGATAGCTTCGGCCTTTTAGAATCAACTATAAGCAATAAAGGAACCAACAGTCAAGAAATATGCCACAGACATATTGGCTATATTTGGTAGAACATCAAGGCCTTATGTAAATGCTGGGAGACAAAAAAATAACAATCAGACAAAAGATATCTCAGTGCATAGAAGGAATGGAGGTGTATGTCTCAGAAGGGACTTTCTCTAGTTCTCTGTAAAGGCAAGGGAGGCTTGCAAGATTGATATCAGCCCTTTGAGTTAGACTAGACAAGAAACCAAAACCATGAGTACTAGCACTACCATTATTGTAAGGTTACAATAACAGAATATTGTCCATTGAATAATTGTGGATAGGGTTGCTTATGTTCTCATGTCTCCTTATGAAAGACATTAAAACCAATGTGGTAAGTAACCGTGTGATCTGGACTATCTGTGTGATTAAAATATGCATATAGACTGTACTTTTGCAATTATCCTGCAAAAACAGTTTTAATATACAGTGTGGACAATAGGAATCAGACATTAAAATATCTAATTTCTGATATGGTTGTAAATCAATATTTGTATTAAACTTCACACCTTTAGAAGGGTGGGTCTTTGCAGATGAAGTATCAATATTTGTATATGGAAACTGAGATTACAGCAGGGATTTACTATGCAACTAAGCACACTCATTAAAACTACTGTAGAAGAGTGTTTTATGCATATACAGTTGTTTGGAATTTGAAAAGGATGTGCATAAGTAATGGTCGGAGTCTATAATACCTTATCTTCTATCTTCTAGAAGGAATTTGAACTTGGGCAAGAGGATTGCATTATTTCTGTTCACAAATATGCGCCAATGAAAAAGCTATTGTATTTAATGATAGTTGTCATTATTAGGANAATGCAAAGCAATAAAAACAAAACATGAGTAGTAAGGAAATTATAAACAACAATTTATATATATATTTTAAAAAATCATATTTATACCACTCCAGATGCCCCCTATCTAAGGCAGCAAAAGGGTTAACCCTGTTTTCCTCTCTTTTGAAACACACAGAAAATGTTTTTGTAATTATATAAGTAACTTTATCTTGAGCCCGAAGTTTATATCGTGTATCCATTAAAAGTGCAGGGTACAATGATTGTCTTTCATTTGGTATCAACCGCTCTATTTTAGCATAATAACCCATTTCATAAGTTTTCCATTTTTAAAAAATAACCTCCTTGTATTCTCTTTCTGTACCAGTTCTCCTAAGTGGTGTGATTTCTTTGCAAATTAAAATAGAAAATACTTGGAACAATAAATACATATTGCAATAAATGTCTTTTTAAAAATGTCTTATGAGCATAAGTAAGTAAACATTTCAAAGCAGGAGTGGGGAGAGAGAGGGAAGAATTCTAATACAATTAATAATTTCTAATACTGTATATATCAGAAACATTATGTTAGAGGATCCATTCCTTAAAGTGTGAAATATTTCTTTCCCCCATTCCTTGTTGATCAGTAGTTCTAATAAGCATACAATATAACTATATAGAGAGAAAATAAATATTGGTAAAAGAGTGTGTGTATTCACACATACAAACACACTCACATATACATATATATATGTTTATATAGTCATTAAACTATCATTAGAAAGCCATATATAAAATCAGACTTCTATGGCATATTTTGAAGATGGTATACAAATATGAGAACAAGAAGATAAGAAAAATATTTTTATATAAAAATAAGCATGAAAAGTAAAGCATGTTGGAAATTCTGCCTCAGGCTGATAGTTCACATGCAATGAATATGGTCACTATTAGTTATTGTCGAGAAAAATATCCAAAGGAAAGCTATGCTTTCCTGGTGTAGCAAATTAAAACCCCTTGTGGTATTTTAAAGATCCAAGCTTTCATGAACTTTCCTGAGATGAATGCATGTATCACACATATATATGGATATACCGTTGATATAAAGAAATAGAAGGAGGAGCCCTCTAAATATTGGAGTCAATTGGCCATGGAACAAAAGGGATATGTTTGTGTGACATAGCACAAAACCCATTTTTTTAAACTTTCAGGATCAACATGAAACTAAAACCACTCACTTCAGTTTTGACATTATTTGCCACTGCTTTTTATGCTGGCTGCAGCAAAGATTGTACCATATCCCATTCATTGGCTGCCAGCATATAATTACTCTATTATTTCTAACAACCACAAAATCCTCAGAATGATGTCATGTCAAGAATGTCCATAACAAGGAATCAAAAAAGTCAAGGTGTTGTTTTTTTTACAGCAGCACAAATTTCTGCCTTTTTTTTACATGCACTGCAATTTTGCCTTTTGCATATATGTATCTTTTTATCCTATTAGATAGCAGTTGGTACTGTAGGACAGCCATCTATATTAGTAAATACTACTTATGTTTATACAGTATAGTATCATAGTATCATAGTATCAATGGATACCAAAAATATGTCTATATTATATTAGTCATAAGATTGACATTTGAAGGCTTTATTACACTAACATCCTACTTTGGGGCTTTCCATTTGCATCTGTTTGGCTATTATTGTGTAGACTGCTAGATTAGATGGATCTTTACTCAGAACCACGATGTCTCTTTGCCAGGTTTTTATGCAAGACTATCACATATTGAAGAATTGTAGATCCTGCAGTACCATTCTGTAAATATATGCATGAATAAAATTGATTGGTGGGTTGACAAAGTGTTAAATTTGCAAGTTTTTATCCTTTGGTTTCTATGTCTGATAAGCAGCCTGTTTTTGTATACCAATAGTTCTTTCAGATGAGGGAAATCTCACACTATTCAAGGACAGGCCTACTGTTCAAGGTCTAGACCAGGGGTAGGCAACCTCAGCTCTTTTATGACTCATGGACTTCAATTCCCAGAATTCCTGAGTCAGTATTCTGGCAGTTGAAGTCCATGAGTCATAAAAGAGCCGAGGTTGCCTACTCCTGGTCTAGGGGAACAAAGTAACATTGTCCAAGTAGGGCTTTACAAAATTGATCACGTTGAAATGATGCTAATTGGAACAACTAATGTTTGGACTTTTTTTTCCACTCTAGGATTAATCTGACATTACCTGTGTCCAATATTGTTGTATTTTGTCTATTTTTCCATCTGAATGGGCTATGTGTAATTTAAGGAAGGCCCAATAGAATCTCTAATTTGCTGAGAGTTTAATTGATTGCAACAGGGTATAAATGCTGTTAAATAAACAGGTAAGTAATATGGCAACCAAAATCCTGAAATCAGTGCAGCTAGAGATAATGTTCCATGTGATTTATACTGGTGAAGAAAAAGAAACATGTATATGTATAAGATAAAGGTGAGGTTTCCCCTGTCCAGTAGTGTTAGAGTCCATGTAACACATAGAAATCCCTTTCTTACATTTTGTGACTGCTATTTTGAAACATACATTCTGTAGCCATGTTTTTATAGTTATAGGTACAGATATACATATGTGACACATACACACAGTTTGCTTACCTAGAATAAGTTTATTTAGCTTTAATTTTATTAAATTTATTATGGTCACTCATTTCAAAAGATTGGGTGACTAAGGTTGAATTAATTTGATGAAGCTGATTCTTTAAAGTGCTACACAATTCTTTGTTGTCCCTTTAATAAGTATGAAAAATACAAACTAGTACTCTGCTGCTGTCAATGTATATTTAACAAAACAGGGGAAATTATTGAAGGATTTCTGATAATTTTTCAAAAAAAAGCTTTGGCATTGTTTTTACAATAGACTCAAGTTAAAAATTTTCAGAAGGAGAAACAACAAAATCAGTTTTATATTGTGTATATGCAGTGCATACACTTATTATCCCTATCCATATGCATATTTAAGACAAAAAAATCCTGTCATAAATAACATCACTGGAAACTTAAGAAATAAAATAAGAAATAAAAACCTTGTCACAGGAGGGCTACACCTATACATTTTTAAAATATGGGGTTTTAATTTAAGCCTTAATTTTTTTTTTTTAAAAAAAATGGTTTTAAAACATATAAATCATAGTCAATGCTTTTACAAACTTCAGCTTCTTTTTTTGTTAAAATAAACCATTCAACTTACTCATAAAGTAATAAGATGGGATAAAAATCTAATAAATAAATAAAAATATCCAAACACAGTTTCTAAGGAATAACAAGTACTTATGATGTAGCAAGTAATTTATATAAAGCACACACTCATAAATACAAGCATAAATATTAAATGGAGAAATCAAAAACTGCCTAAAAGTTACATTCTAAAAAATATTAGAGAGTCATCTTCAACCTTATCCCATAATCTGAGGTGTGCTTGTTTGTGTGCATGTATGAGAAAGAGAAAGACAAAGAGAGACAGAGACAGAAGGACTGACCAATTGTATTGGTCATAATCCAGGTTGTAGAAAATTTGAGTGGCACATTATTGAATACTAAATATAATATGCGGAAAAGAGAAAAACTCTCTTTTAATGTTGTCTTCATTTAAATGAGACCAAATGTCTTTTTAGAAGACTTTCCACTTTTGTATTCGTCCATTAGTTTTAAAATGTGCATTCAGTCATATATTGTAAAACATAATCCACTCAAAAATGCCTTAATTTTATCTCTATAGACATCCAGATACGAAAAGAGTGTTGTTGTTGTTGTTGTTGCTTAATGCTCACTGATAGCTGCAATAAGGTATCACCTACCAGAACGCCCACAATCCGAACATGAGACAAGCTCTTCTGGTTTTCCGCTTTTTTTATTCATATTAGATCCTCCAAGGCAGAAATCACAGTAGTTATTGGAAATGATGGCCCCGTCTGGTCCTTTTTGGGCTGTAGGTAGAAGCGTAATATTTTAAATTGAGAGAGAAACTCTCCATGTGTCTTTTATTGTTATTAATTTACTTGTATTTGGACACCATATTTATCAACTAAAAATTTAAACTGGTCAAAGCCAAAGGATCACAAGTTTTCTGACACTCAGTTGTGTTGAATGCAGCTGCTATGGAGCCAGAGATTATTGTCTCTGGTAATACTCTTTAATACTATATATTTTCCAAGATAAGGAAACAAACTAATCTATATAGCGCCTATGAATTGCTACTCAAAAATTACCTGCGGCTGTTTGTTTTATTCTTTTAATTTAATTTATTTAAAAAAAATATTTTTCACTATACACCATACACCAAAAACTACATAAACATAAATCTTTTCTTCTAACAGAACAGTGCTTTACATTTTAAATATTCTTTACATCTTATTTACATTTTATGTACATCAATAATTATGTCTTTTTCTTTCTCTGTTCTAGCCAATTATAACATTTATTCCAAATTTCATAAAATTCTGACGTCTCCTTGTCTTTTATTTCTAACGTAAGTTTGTTCATTTCTGCGTATTCTTTTAATTTAAAAACAGGCTTTGGACCACCATCCCCACTTTTTTAAATGAGGCCTTCTAGAAATGTTCAGAGACAAAGGCAAGAGCTTCTTTTCTGATTTGCCTTCTTTCTTCCCTTTCTGTTCCCATGCCAAACAATAAATGCTAAACTGTCTCTGGGCTGTGCTAATTCCTGAAGATGTCCTCCACATTTACCAGGACTTTAAAATAGATTTCCTTAAAGGTGGGTTTTGGGGCGGAGTAGGGCTAGGCAAACATACACACACACACACACACACCCTCTAGCATTGAGCATCATAACCCTCTTTTGAATTTAATGCTCTGGGTAACATTTCACCAGAAAACCAGAAAAAACTGCTATCAGTGACATGAAGAAACTATACACTAGAACTTGCAAATGAAGACAGGGAAGCATTTTATACTCTAATGGCATCCGCAACATGAAGTCGGTTATCTGCTTCTGGTGTGACTCGCCTACCTGCCAGCAGAGATTTTTCTGTTGGCACGAAGACCAAACGGCACACAACACAATGAGTAATGGGGGTTGGTGTGTTTTCCTTGCAAAAGAAAAACAAAAAAGCTTTTGTTTGACGCCTAAACTGTGCAGGAGCCCGGTTTTGAACGATTCCAATCTCTGGGCAGGATTTGGCGTCCCCATTTTCATATCTTTCCAGCCTTCATCCCCTCGGAGGGATGGCTGACATACAATCTGAACCTACAGGGTAAATGGCATTGAGTTTCCCCTCGTGCGCCTTTTCCCCCCTACTGCTGACAGAGCTCATCTCTCCGCAGGCTGACATGTTTCCATGACAACCAAAATTCCAGGCTCTGGCTGCCTCTGATCTGGCCACCTGTTATTACTCCATTTCTCAAGTGTAAAGAACTGATTTGTGACCTTTCCCCCCCTCCTCCTCCTCCCTGCCTCCCTCCCTCCCTGCCTCCCCCCCTCTCTCTTTTCAAAAGGCATAGATGGGTTTGAGAAATTAAAAGTACCACATCAAATAAACAGGAAGAGCAGAACAACACCAGCAGCTGAGAGAGGCACATTCCTGGAAGCGCCATGTGCCTGCAGAAGAAACGATTGAATCCCTGTTGGAAATGAGTCCACTTCCGGCTGGCTTTCTCCCAACGTTTAATGAGAAATGAAGAAAGTCATTGGGGTGGGATTCAAAGGGAATGGCTCACTGCACAGACTGCACATTGTTTTGCCCAGGACAGAGGTGTGGACTGAAGCAAAATACAGCAGGTAGCATAAATCTCCCAGAGTGCTAAAGGATAAGCCAGATGGAGCTTACGTTAAAAAAAAAAAAAAGTTCAGACATTTCCCCTTTATTCAAAAGGATTTTTGTACTGTCCTCTGCTTCCACGGTTTCTCTACTCCTGTTTCTTAGCCTTTTTGATAGCCTGACTTTGTATGTGGCAGGAAAATGCTAATATCACTACCACCTCAACCAAGATGCCTTATCATTGCTCTAAAGCCAGGTGTCTGTCTGTCACTACAGGGGAAAACCTTTCTCTGCCCAGCTAATGCAGAAAAAAAATACTTTCCATTTATGGAGCAAATTGGAAACTGCACAGCTCTGGGTATTAGGGGGATACATAGTAACATGAATTGCAATTTAAACTGCAGGGGGGAAATAGCACTTGCAATGTTCCTTTCTTTTTCAAGAAAAAAAAGAGAATGCTATGCAAGTAAAAACCTGGCACATCAGGGGAAATATTCCAGATAAACTCACCATTTCGTTCCAAAGTTATTCAATGATTTGCATTTGTTTCTAAACAAGAGTTTAAACCACAGGGGAGAGCAAATCTAGCACCTGTCTGTAACTCTTTGAAGCAACTGTGTCATCACTATGCAACACTGAGAAAAGATGAAGCTGGTTAGACAGGTGCTAAATTTTATTTGTTTGTTTACTTACTCATTTCACTTATATACTACCTAATTGACTATGGACCTGTGGCATTTTACAAGAACAATCAACAATGAATAATTTAATTTGCAATCCCCTTGAGCATTCTCCTAAGCATCTTTCTGGAATCAAGTCTAAAGCTTTATACAGCCCCAACCTGTTCTGTTTGCAATGAATTTTAGTACATGCCTCATCAGTACTGCCAATAGGTCAGCATGACTCAACCCTAGTAAAAGCATTGGGAGTAATCTTCAGAATCTGACCTACAGCCTGTGTTTTAAATATGGCAGAAGAGGGAATTTACTAAGAATATGTAAACCATATTTATTTAATGTGTGTTAATGTTGATTAAATTTAAATGTGATTAAATGTAGTTTTTGTCCTGGCCCTGCCTTCATTTGGAATGTTATTTAAAGGCAGGGATGCTTGTCAGCCCTGTTGCTAGATAATTTTTTAAAAATACTAAGTACAATTTATAAAGATAAAATTTTAAAAACCAAAATAATAAATGAGCTCCTGAAACGAAATACACATCTTGCCAGGCACCCATTTATATAATACTAAAGAAAACAAAGAAGGAAACAGTGCAGGAGGCTGTGAGGTACAATCTAAGTCTTATTAAGCTCTGGCACCCCCATGCCATTCAAGTATTGATCCTAGGCCTCTTTGCTACTACCTTGAGCACTTATCATCTTCTAGCTGGTATACTAGTTGTGGATAATTGGAGTACCAGTCTAACTTGTTTGGACAGTACTAAGTTGAGTAATATTGCTGTTCACCTGACAATACTAATCTAAATTAACATAACTGGCTAAGTCAATCTAAATCTCAAAATTGCTCTACAGGTTCTATTACAAAATCTGATCCTATTCTGATAGTATCAGGGACATTTGATAAAAAGATGATATTTTTATATGTCATTAAGAGCTAAGTTAATTGAGTGGCTAAGGCACCAGGCTAGAAATAGGAGATTGTGAGTTCTAATCCCATTTTAAAGCATGAAAGCTGGCTGGGTGATTTTGGTCAATCACTATCTCTCAGCCCATGATGTCAGGCTCAAATGACAAGGCTGCTACTGTTGTTGTTGTTGTTGTTGTTGGAGGAGGAAGAGGAGGAGGAGGAGGAGGAGGAGGAGGAGGAAGAGGAGGAGGAGGAGATTAGTTGTTTCTGATAAGAACAGAAGTATTTGTGAGGGGAAAGAAAAAGAAGAGAGCCAAACAGTGCAACAAATCAGGAAAAGAGAAGACTTGAAGTGAGTTCAAAAATAGGGCAGCTCTACAATTCCATGGACCTGAACTGAAAAAGTTTATTTCCACCTGTAGACAAAATATTAGCATCTATTCTACAATATCAAAACTCTGTTATCTCATTCTTCTGCCTGTGCTTAAAATACAGTTTGAATCATTGGCAGGAAAGAGGCAGAAGATATTTGAAAAGGAGAAGATTTCAGAAGACAACATTCTTCTACTATGACCCAATAATATGACCCAATAAAGATTATGATAGGCAAGAATGCAAATGACTTGGAAATTCCAATAATTAAAGTCAGAGAGCATAGTGAATATTAAGAAGACTAAACTAATGATAATAGGTACGGTTGCTAGCATGAAATTATTGGAGTAATGGATAGCTTCAGCCTTTTAGAATCTACTATAAGTAATAAAGGAACCAACAGTCAAGAAATATGCCACAGACATATTGGCTATATTTGGTAGAACATCAAGGCCTTATGTAAATGCTGGGAGACAAAAAAAATAACAATCAGACAAAAGATATCTCAGCGCATAGAAGGAATGGAGGTGTATGTCTCAGAAGGGACTTTCTCTAGTTCTCTGTAAAGGCAAGGGAGGCTTGCAAGATTGATATCAGCCCTTTGAGTTAGACTAGACAAGAAACCAAAACCATGAGTACTAGCACTACCATTATTGTAAGGTTACAATAACAGAATATTGTCCATTGAATAATTGTGGATTGCTTATGTTCTCATGTCTCCTTATGAAAGACATTAAAACCAATGTGGTAAGTAACCGTGTGATCTGGACTATCTGTGTGATTAAAATATGCATATAGACTGTACTTTTGCAATTATCCTGCAAAAACAGTTTTAATATACAGTGTGGGCAATAGGAATCAGACATTAAAATATCTAATTTCTGATATGGTTGTAAATCAATATTTGTATTAAACTTCACACCTTTAGAAGGGTGGGTCTTTGCAGATGAAGTATCAATATTTGTATATGGAAACTGAGATTACAGCAGGGCTTTACTATGCAACTAAGCACACTCATTAAAACTACAGTAGAAGAGTGTTTTATGCATATACAGTTGTTTGGAATTTGAAAAGGATGTGCATAAGTAATGGTCGGAGTCTATAATACCTTATCTTCTATCTTCTAGAAGGAATTTGAACTTGGGCAAGAGGATTGCATTATTTCTGTTCACAAATATGCGCCAATGAAAAAGCTATTGTATTTAATGATAGTTGTCATTATTAGGA